TTTTATGTTCCTGTTTCTGTATATCCAGCTAAAACTGCCATTTAATTTCATGATTCAAAATAGAACCTACATTGTCACTCTCAAGCTAGTCTGTGTATTGCACTGGCCTCACCAAAAATTAGAGAACTCATTAAGCAAAATAAGGAATTGCAAAAAGTGAAAAACTGCTTTCACATGAAAAAAAGGCAAGCAATTCCAATTGATCCCCACTTCTCTTTCTTGGAGCTTTGGCTTAAAGTTACCACATCAGAAATAATATTTGCATGAATATAATTGATTGTTGCTTTTGTGTTGAATTGCAACGTATCAGTTGAGGAGAGCTATAAAATACAGTGGCATCATTTTCAGCTCTTCAGGCTTTGCTATTGGAGCTTTGAGCTGAAATACAGACACACCAACTACGAGAAACAAATGAAAGCTGTCACCAGTGTCAGTAGCAAAAACCGGGGGTCCATCCACACAAATTATGGACATCTGTATTCCTAATTGGCATCATTTCAGGCTGTGCCAGCAGAATGGTGGTGCCAAGAGAGTCTGACAGCTTTAGAAAATACTAGGTATCAGGTTTAGGTGATAGGAGACACTGATGAGGCATAGAAGTTCTTTTGTTTGGAATACTCTCCATATGTTTGTTATAAGACTGGTGATTATTAGTTTCAGGTACCTCCACATGGCACCCCTTGTCAATACTAAATTTGCTGGCTACTTCTTAAAACAGATCAGCTTATGATCCTAGGAGAACAAGTGGTATTGATGGTTATATGATCAGGAGATCGTTGGCAAAGATGCCTACAAATAGTTAACAAGGTAATGGTAAGAAATGTTGACCTTGATTTGTTTAGCTAAGATGTAAAGATTTTTGAAGGTCAAAGGTGTCCTTGTGTAGTGTTTTGGAGTCTAACTGTGTCTGACCCTCTAACATTAAGCTGCTGTGGCCTGCAGTTTTCAAGAGTGAAGCAAACCAGGGGAAAAGAGAGAAGGGGGAGAGAACAGGAAATGGAGTGAGGTGTTTCAGGAAGTTGTCAGGGGTTGACTGATTGATTCCAGATGGAAAAGGTCAGCCTTCGTGACCCAGGAAATACTCACTAGGGAAAGAAGTTGGCTTGTGGAAGGGGAAGGCCTGGGAGTGAGCCGAGGCTGGAATGCACTTTCCACTTCCTTTAGTCTTCAAACATTCAGAAACTTTAACTTCTCCAAAGAGAATAATATCAGTGTTGTCATCATTCATCAGAAAACAGTGAAGGAAGTTAAATTTGGAGCTTTGAATGTACCAAATGTATCTTCACCTCCATAATGTCCTTCATTCTTCCAGAAGTAGAGTGCATGAATGTAGAAGTCCACGTTTGTGTATATCTCCACGTACAAGAACAACAACCAAACTTGTCTGGTTTCACGTGGTGGAGTTTGTGAATTAAATCCTTTCCACTTTGCAAATTTGGTTTAATTGGCAAGCTCTTCTAGATACTTGAGAGTCTAAGATGTTTGGAATATTAAAAACGGGAACTTGTCTCGTATCTATATATATACATGCACATACATTTGGACATAATTTAAAATCTTGTAATAAATTTTGCAGACACTGAAATAATTCAGGTTAATTCCCTTGCTGTCATGAGAGGCCAGCGCTAGCCAGCAAGAGATTAAAATTTATTTCCATTGTTAATAGAAAATAATGAAGTGCATCTGAACCATCAGGGTATGTCATTTGGGAAATGTTCACTTTGGAACTGACTCTCACTCCACCCGAATGGACAATGATGAAATCAGCTGGCTTGAGAAAAGCCCATATTTTGTGGCAGGAATGCACGAGGAGCACTAAAGCACAGTATGACAAGAAGCTTGTGGAATGAATTAAAGTGGTCTCAAAGAGAATGCTCTTTACATCCACGTAGGCCCCAGGCAGGCGGGTTCCCCTCACTGTGCTGAGTACAGCTCATTGGCAATTAAAGCCTGAAGCACCCTCTCATTTTTTTCCCCCAGAGATGACAGCTATGTCTTTGAAAATTCATTCACACACACAATTTACCAAAGCGGTCTGATTCCTCTTTTTTCTCCACTTCTATTATTTTCAGGGGGTAAATGCTTTCAACTTCATGTTCCTCTTAACCCCATGGCCAGGAGACAGCCTCCCTCTTCCTTTGACTATGATGCCATCCTGTGCTCTGCTGAGATGGCCCTGACAAGGGCTTGTGCCTCGCACATTTACCCAGAGTGATGGATGTCTCCCTCTTATGGTGGCCGCTACATGATAGGGACTTTCTGGAAGGACTTCCTCCAGACTTTTAACAGGTTAACATGAACACAATTGAAAACAGACCCAGAGCTAGACAGGCTGTATCCCTCAATTGTGAGCAATTATATTGATAATAATTTTCTGAATGGCAACTGGAGAAATATTATGCTGTGTTTTATACTAGTCAGATCATTGGTTAAAATCCTAGAATCTGGCATGACAATACCGTAGACGTAGCAGGAGTTCAATGAATACCTTTGGGTTGAATGATTGAAGCCCACTCATGTTCAAGTATGATTTCCTGTGTGCTACAGTCATGCCTATGGCACCAGGCTATGTGAGATATTCTGTGGACTCATGGTTTTAGGGGTTTTCCCAAGCCTCCATTATATTAAAGTATACATTAAAAGATTTAAAGGATACCATCTAAAACTTTGCAAGGTAAAAAACATCAGAAGAGTGTTGCCTCAGGAAGTAGGATTGACTAAGATAACTTTGTAGGGTAAAGGAAATATTCTAAATCGTGATATGGTGAGGCTTACCTGCATGTATCCATTTGTCAAAATTGTGCAGCTAAGATTTGTGCATTTCAATGCCTGTAAATTTCACCTAAAATGGAAATTCATTATACTATTTTGTTTACTTGAAATTATTCATAGTAAAAAATTTATGGAAATTCATTATACTATTCTGTTTATTTTGTTTACTTGAAATTATTCATAGTAAAAAATTTTAAGTGACATTTAATGAATCTTATTTCATATGAGGAGCTAAGGTAGGGACAAGGTTTTTTCCCCCTTCACTTAATAAGTTAGGAAGGGGTGGCAGAAAAAATTAAAGAAGAATATCAAAAAATTTAAGTTGGGAGTAGACAGGAAGAGTCATTTTCAAGTACAGCTCGTCATTATGTACCTATTCATTGCCCTTCCTTGAAAAGTCTATATGTATGCATGTATGCCCTGGCCGGGTGGCTCAGTTGGGAGCATTGTCCTGTATACCAAAAGGGTTGCAGGTTCAATTCACACTCAAGGCACATACCTGGGTTGAGGTTTGATCCCTGGTCGGGGTGTGTATGGGAGGCAACTAATCAATGTTACATCTCTCCCTCTCCCTCTCCCTCTCCCTCTCCCTCCCACTCAAGGCACATACTTGGGTTGAGGTTTGATCCCTGGTCGGGGTGTATATGGGAGGCAACTAATCAATGTTACTCTCATCTCTCTCCCTCTCCCTCTCCCTCTCCCTCTCCCTCTTTCTCTAAAAAGCAATAAAAATGTATCCTCGGGTGAGGGTTAAAAAAGTGTATATACATGTATGAATATGTATATAACAAGTGGTTTTCTTAAAAAAATTTCCAAGTAGACTCATATCTAGGATAGTTCATCTTCCTGGATCAAGCATGTTGGTGGTAGGTACGTTAGAGTCCGCTCTATTCTGCTACACTCTCCCTGCTACTGTGGTCTTGGCTAATCTCTGCCTCTTTGAACTTCTTGCACACTCCTGATCTGCAGCTCACACATAGAATTCAATGGAATCTCATTCCTTGTGCTACTTGCTTTATGTTAGCCATGTATCTCCAGCTTGAACATAAGGTCTTTGAGGGCGGGGTCATGACTGGTAACTTTTGGTCTCTAGCCCCTGTGTTCCCCTTTCTAGAGCCTCCCCCAGAGCATACCAGTGGTTCTCAACTTTCCTAATGCCGTGACCCTTTAATACAGTTCCTCATGTTGTGACCCCCAACCATAAAATTATTTTCATTGCTACTTCATAACTATAATTTTGCTACTGTTATGAATCGTAATGTAAATATCTGATATGCAGGATGTATTTTCATTGTTCGCGACCCACAGGTTGAGAACCGCTGGTAGACTATGGGAGAGGCTCAGTGAGTAATGTTGTCTGTCCTATTAACTAATCAAACAAGGCAGAGGTGAGGCTATTAGGAGGGGAACTCATTGAGGCCCCACACTGAAAGCTTTACATGTATTTATCCTTATTTTGTCTCATTCAGCCCTTGAGAGATAGGCATTGTTTATGTTTTACAGATAAGAAAAATGGACATTCATAAAGGTTGGTGATTTGTCCAAGGTTACAAGTTAGGAAGCAACAGGCGTGGGATTTGAGTTCAGTTTCATCTGACTGCAAATCCATGCTCTTTCACTCTTCCATACCCAACTCTTCCCTTTCCTCTGGTTAGATACTGAACGCTCTACAGTCTCAACACTGAATTCCAGCAATCTGACCTTCTTGCCTAAAGCCTGAGCATCTCTGCCACTGCTCTCTATTGGGCAGGGACACCACAAACAAGTCATCTCCATGCCAGCCTTACGCTAGCACATATCAGAGGTGCAAGGACCCATTCCTGTTCTGGGAGAAACGACCTACCAGCTGGTGCTCAGTTCTTAGCCTCCTGATGACACACAGTCAGTCCCTTGTTGCAACGGTCAGCTGGGAATGAGTGTCCAGGTCCTTTGCTAGAGAACTACATTTCTAGAAGCAGCAGGCACAAGCCCAATTTCCCCATTTCATCATCTGGGCATAGTCTGAACACAAATATGTGATAGCACATGGGTGAAGGGCAGTCTCTTTTTCCATGAAGCTCTTCCCATAATTATAAGAGGAGGTGAAATGTCAAGAGCATGGCCCTGTCCCCAAATTCTGTTCCATTTCTTGTCAGCTATATGGAAATCTGGCAAACAGAATTCTGGTACATTTACTACCTTATATGAAACTAAGTCCTTTTTTTTTTTTTTTTACTTTAAATATGCAGGTTGTGTTATCAACAACAGTGAATGTGGATGGACATGTGTTGGCTGTTTCTGACAACATGTTTGTTCATAACAACTCAAAGCATGGGCGGAGAGCGAGAAGACTGGACCCTTCGGAAGGTAGGGCTGTCTGCGGGCAGGGCGAGAATGGCAGACAAATGAAATTCTCCACAATTTCCTTGCTTGAATTTCAAATGTATGCTTCTGAGTAGGAGTGGAGAAAGTACACAAGACCATGTGGGTTTTAAAGTGAAGTTGTAAACACTGACTCCCGCATACTCCGTTGTAACCCCACACATCTCCCTGCGATGTTTAAAGACCCCATGCCTCAGTCTGTTCCATTCAGTTGTGTTTTTCTTTTTGCTAGGCAGGTATTTCAGGCAAATGTAGGCCTATGACATCTTAGTTAAACAGGAACATTACAGTGCCAGACATGTATGAATAAGTGTCAGATGTGCCCTTAAACAGATTGTGGGCAAAACAAAACAATGTGCAGAATGAAACTGACACTAATTGATTTTTGTTTGCTTGGACTAGAAGAAATCATGGTCTGCTCTGGGTAGTTTTCCAAGTGCATTAAAGTAATTAGAAATACAGGTAACTGTTAAACTTCAACTTGTCTGAAAAATTTAAGTATATTGAGGAAGATAACTGACAAACCTAAGTAAAGCCCATCTGAGTTCTTCTCTTTCCTTGCCCACTCCCCACTCCCTGGAGTAGGAGGTTATGGACTACATGAATAGTGAAATTAGGGACTATTTTAGTGTGATGCTTGGCTGTATACTGCTCACCAGCCCCCACCCCAACTCGGCCTTTAAAATGTGTCTTGTATCATTTAAAATAGGAATTAATGAACTGAAAGAAAATGATTGAATCAGTAAAGAATTTGGAGTGGTGTTAATTCTCCCACAGTGGGCACCGAAGGGGAGACGAAAACCCCAGGGTTCAGAACTAGGAACCCATCCAGTTTCTTTTGACTGATTGGATGTGATTGACTGGCTGTTCAAAGGGGGCTCATGTTTTTGGAATCCTGCCAAAGTTCTCTCCCACCTTTGACCCTGTCAGCTTTGGAAATGGAGTGATGGATTGACTTTAGTTATGGCCTGAAAACCATATTGGGTTCCTGTTGGGATGTAAAGTCCAGAGGCCTCAAACATATGGAAGAAGGGGGGAAATCCTTCCTACAAAGTTAGGAAAGTGATTAGAAATTGTCTCTTGATAGAGCAGAAAAAGCCTTCACCTATGACAGATTTTACTTTCTCCTTCTCTCTCTGGCACATTAGCAGGCCTTGTAAATCTTGACATCTTAGTGCAGAGGAGGTGGAGAGAGAAAAGGGATTTACACGTTTCCAGTGTGGTCAACTTATAAAAATATGGGGGGGAAGAACAAGTTCTAAAAACACCCTTTGCACAATTAGCTAAGTGTTCCATGTTTTCATACATAGTGGTCAAATCATTAGGCTTTAATGACCTGGTGAAAACCAACAACCAATTAAGGAATGATGGCAAGTCAGCAAAGCTCAACTTGAACTTCTTGGAATGATCAACAGCCTTTAAGAGCAGTCAGTTCCCCGAACTCCAAACTTCAACCACCAAAGGGCAGACCTGACTTTTCTTTTCTATCGTTTTAGCTACCCCCTGCATCAAAGCCATTAGCCCAAGTGAAGGCTGGACCACAGGAGGAGCCATGGTCATCATCATTGGGGACAACTTCTTTGATGGCCTCCAAGTGGTGTTTGGAACTATGCTTGTATGGAGCGAGGTAGGCCGGGGCAACTTGCTTTCCTGATTTTCTTTGGCCTAAAGATAGTTTTGCTTTGGGTTTGAAACTAGTAATTCCTGTAGTATCAGCAGCATGAATGCACACTATTAAGTACCAAAGATTAGCCACATGTAAACCACAATTTATTGCAGGCGTGGATAACTTAAAAATATAAATATTCATTGCAGTATTATTTATAATTTTGAAAAAATAAGAATAGTCATAATGGGTAAATAAATGATGGAATATCATTACACCATTAAAAATTGTGGGGTTTTTTTTTTGCCCTAGCCAGTTTGGCTCAGTGGATAGAGAGTTGGCCTATGGACTGAAGGGTCCTGGATTTGATTCTGGTCAAGGGCACATGCCTGGGTTGCGGGCTCAATCCACAGTAGGAGGCGTGCAAGAGGCAGCCAATCAATGATCCTCTCTCATCATTGATGTTTCTATCTCTCTCTCTCCCTCTCCCTTCCTCTCTAAAATCAATAAAAATGTATTTTAAAAAATTGTGTTTTGAAAAAATTCTAATGACCAGGAGAAGGGTGCATGTTTATGCTGTAATGCTAAGTGGAATAAAAAATCAGGACAACATTGTCTGAGGATGTAAAGTCTAATTACGTAACATCCATCCATAGAAAAGTGCTGGAAACACACCAAAGATTAATAACAGTTGTCTCAGGTTATGCAATGTTAATATTTTCCTTATATTTTTCTGTAATTTCTAAATTTTCTAAAGTGGATATGTTCTACTTTCATAATGGGAAGACCAACAAGACATGTTACAGGAAGATAACTACTGATGTTAAGTTGGATGTGGAAGTTGCCAAATCAATATGTGAGGTCATAGCAGTATAGGAATTAGGGGGAGAGTATGATTACAGGGATGGGGGTGGGGTGGGTACATGAGGTGGGAGGGACTTGAGCTGGGCTAGTAGGAAGGAGAGGATCTAGACAGGGTAGGTTGAGACAAAAGTCCAGGGTGTGAGAGAAAAATGTGAGAGACAGGGACAGGGTATTCAGAGTGTTTGGGGTGCCATGACTATGCCAGTTTGCCCTGGTGGGAGTAGTCATGGGAGATTCTCATGTTCTCAGTATCCTTGGTGATAACTTCTATAATAGGTGTTTCATTTCCATGCCTGTTCATTCCTCAGCTAATCACTCCTCATGCCATCAGAGTTCAGACTCCTCCTCGACACATCCCTGGAGTGGTGGAAGTGACTTTATCTTATAAATCCAAGCAGTTCTGCAAAGGAGCTCCAGGAAGGTTCATTTACACAGGTGAGTGAGAAAATGATTCCAAAGGGGACTGGCCCCTGGTTCACCTTTGGTCTAATTCCAAGTCTCTCTACTTTTTCATCATTCTAAATTTACTAGGTCTTTCTGCTTGTGTGGGAAGACTGGACTGGGTAAAAGGCATTGAATGGGAAAGTATAGACTTGATTCTAAATTTGTATTCTACTTAAGCAGTTTCTGCACAGTCTGGGAGATGGTCACGGCAGCTCATCTCAGGGGTACCTCCTTATACATTTAACTTTGCTGGAACCTTGCTAGGATAGACCTTTATTCAAGCAACCAGACAAAAAAAATAGACAAAGTTGCTGGATATAACTAATTTTCTTTTTTTAAATTTTGTTTTATTGCTTAAAATATTACAAAGAGTAGTACATATGTCTCCTTTTTCCCCCCCTGACCTTCCCCTGGCCTCCCCTACCCCCCAGTGTCTTGTATCCATTGGTTATGCTTATATGCATGCATACAAGTCCTTTGGTTGATCTCTTACCGCCCCCCCCACAAACCTCCCCGGCCTTCCTGCTATAGTCTGATAGTCTGTTCGATGCTGCTAACTAATTTTCTTGAAAAGGATTCAAGGGAGTTGCCCATTGATGCTGCAGAGTGATTCAAATTGTTTTAAATTGTATGAAAGTATCAGTTACCTATTATATATCTCAATATTTGTTGAATAATCTACCTTGTATCTATAACCTTTTCTAGGTGTAAGGTACAGGGACATATAATACATGGTCCTTACTGTACTGGGAGTTTAGAACTTTTGGAGGAGGCAATGGTACATTACCCAGAACAGCTAGAGAATTAGAATATTCAAAATGCATGGTATTTTCAATGAATGGAATATGAGTTCCAGGAAAAGAGGGTTTAGTGTGGACTAGAGTTAGTGGTATGATATATTAAGGGAGAAATGGACATTTGTAAGGATGGGAGGGTTTAGATAGGCAAAGAGAAGGAAAAATGTTTCAACTATGGGAAACTCATGTGCAAAGGCCCAGGGGGTGAAGTGAGCAGGTGGCAATATATTTGGGTAGACCTTAGACCAGAACTTAGTTTAGATGATCTAGGCACAGGAAGAAGGGAAACCGCAAAACAGCTTAAAAACCCTGTATAGTACGAAGAGAGTAATCAAATTCATAGAGACAGAAAGTTGAATGATGGTTTTTAGAGGATGAGGGTAGGGAGAATGGGAGTTGTTGTTTAATGGGTATAGAATTTCAGTTTTGCAAGATGAAAAGAGTTCTAAAGATTGGCTGCACAACAAAATGTGAATGTATTTAACACTATTAAACTATACACTTAGAAATGGTTTAAGATAATAAATTGTGTTATATTTTCCCATATAACAAATTCTACCATAATTTGGGGAAAAAAAGCTTTGATTGGGAGTTCAGACTTGATTTGGTAAGATATAAGACGACATTGAGGGTTCCCATGCAAGGGAAAGTAAGTCAAAAGTGCTATCTTAGGATAAATGAATGTGGTTGATATAAAGACTGATTTAGTTGGGGGGGGAGGGGACGGCAGCCAAGGAGACCTGGAGAAACTGAAACCAGGATATTATACTTTGAAAGAGAAAATAGGGGTATCGAGAAAGAAATATATAAACCAAGAAAATACATCAGATATATTATGACTTTCTAATAATATCATTTTATAGTTTACTCTCTCATTTGGACTCAGCCTCTATTCTGATTTGAGTATCAATGTCTGCTTAGATGTCAATGAGGAGTAGATGGAAGAGGGTTGGAGGAGATGGCCACAGAAGGGGTTATAAATACAGGATGGAAGAAGTCTAGATGGGGCCTCAGGAGCACCAATATGTAGGGCTCAGGATGATAAGGAGGAGTCTGTGAAAGAGAATAAGCAGAAGTAGACTGCCTGGGGAGTCTCACAAAATTCCTGAATACCAGGATCATGTGCAGTCCCTCAAGTCTGGTGAGAAATGGGTGTCATTCCAGGATGCTTTCCACATATAGAGCTCCGGCACCTCTATTTTCCCTGGCATGGATAACAGGTCAGGCCAGAGAGGAGATGAGTAAGACTAATACCATTCATGGTGCAAACAATCCTCAACTCTCTTCTGAAGTAACAAACAATCTCCATATTTAGTGGGTCTATCGATGTCTGGAGCCAAGTGGTGTGTGTACATGCGTGTATGTGTGTGTGCATGTGTGTAAGCATGTGCATGTGCGTGCGTGTGTGTGTGTATGTATACATGTGTTAACTTCCTCTGAAAGCAGGGGTTCTCACCCTTGCCTTCACCTCAAATCACTGATGCCCAGGCTGGACCCTGGACCAAATAGATTTAAATCTCTGAAGATAGGACCCAGGTATTAGTGTAATCCATATATTTGTTGAACAAACATCAGCTCCAAATTATGCTCAAGACAAAATCATTCATATCAGTATGTCTCTAACAGCTCAGTTCTAGAAGGGGAGGTAGGTAGGTACTTGTAGTTACGATAATTGGGTTGAGTCCCATAAGAGATGTAAAAGCAAAATGGGTTGTTGGAGCACTGAGCAGGGAGTAGTTGACTTTGGGGAAGCATTGAAGGCTGTTCAGAGGCGGTGACAATACAGTGACATTTCAAAAGCAAAGTAGGAACTTACCAGACAGAAGAGTTTGTGGAAACAGAGTGCCTGGTAAAAGAGGAGTCCACATAACTGAAAATAATAGATGTTATGCTACATGTAAATTCAAAGAATCCTAGAGATGATGAGATATTGAAGATCATCTGGTGAAACTCCCTCTTTTGCAGATGAGAAAAGTGAGGTTCAGGGAGAAGTGACTTGCCCACAATCATCCATTACGTTATAGGTGGAGTCAGAACACGGACCCAGGTGTCTGCCCATCCTGCCTGGGGAGTCTTTTATTTAGCAGATAGTGTTGACAAAGAGCTCTCTTTTCCTAATGAGCCATTAATAACTATTTATGAAATAAATAGCGCTTGAGCACATGCACTAGGCTCAGCACTGCTCTGTGCTGGGGATACTGCAGATGAGTCAGACCAGTTCTTTTCCTAATGAGCCATTAATGACTATTTATGAAATAAATAATGCTTGAGCACATGCACTAGGCTCAGCACTGTGCTCTGTGCTGGGGATACTGCAGATGAGTCAGACCAGCAGCGTCACGATGTAGTGATGTAAAGGTGGACTGCTCATGCTCTGGAGTCACTGCCTGCCCGCACAGTTTGGCTTTCCTCTAAGTTTATGTCACTTACACAAATCTTGGGTAAGTGACATAAACTCTTAGTTTCTCACGTATCAGATGGGCTACCTACCTCTCAGAGCTGTGGTGAGGATAAATAATAGAAACAGTGGTGTGCTGGTAAAAGTTTAACAACCAGGTCTCCAAGTTCAAGGTGAGGGTGCGGGAAATCGGTTTATAGCATTTGCTGATTTCCATCGTGCAAATACTCTCCCCATGGCTCATTTCAAGCTACCAATATGACATCAACCAGCTCACAAAATTCCTGAAAATGTAACAACCTGCCCTCATAAGCCAGCTCTAGAACACCTCTGCATGGAAGGCATTCGGGATAGAGAACAACTAGATCTTATTATTCAAAAGGTGTTTATTATCCATATTATTCTTGTTATTTCTATTAGTCTTATCATAATGGAGACTGATGAATGAGAAGTTACAGATGCTATGAGGATTAAAAGTTGTATAGGATGCTGTGGATATATGCCAGGGAAGTTGAACCTTCTTGAACTGAGATGATAGGGAAGGCTAAGAACAGTCCAAACACAGAAAACAGTACATGCAAAGGTCCTGGGGTAGAGAAGAACATGAGATATATTTGATGGCCACTATGAATAGCGCAGAGAGAATGAGTTAAAGAGAGGTTGGGTTCAAGCTGGAAGGGAGGGTTTGGGCTGCTTATTTGGTCCTACCCCTGATGAACACTAAGGATATTTTCAATCCATGTGAAAACACGGAGAGACATTGGAGTATTTTAAAGCTGGGGAATCTGTGATTAGATTTGCCTTTTAAAAGATTATTCTGGCTGCAGTGTAGAGAATGGCTAGGAAGTTAGGGAGGATTCAGGGAGGTCAGTTGGAGGCCAGTGTGGTGGCCCCGGCCAGAAATGATGGCAGCTTGGACGAGCTTGCTGGTAGTGGGGACAAGCTGAAGTGGGTGAAATTTAGGAGGTAGCATTGACGGGACTTGATGATTGATTGGATAGGGTAAAGGTTGGGAAAGGGAGGGGAGGGGAAGACTCTCAGGTTTCAGGTTTGAAAAATTGGGTGGGTATAGTTTAGCAAGTGATTTTTAAAAAGGTATAAAGTGCTAAAGGGAGTTCAGGGGAAGGACAAAATCCTTCCAGCTGGCGGAGTGGTGGGGAGATTTAATATTGTAAAGATGCCAATTAATGAATAAATTTAACACAATGCCAATCAAAGTACCCACAAAATGTTTGGGGAAACTTTACAAAAGTTCACTGAGGTGCTAAAATAGAACCTCTCATTTTGAAAAATGAGAGGGCTTTGCCCTACCAGACATTAAAACCGATTTTAAGTTTCAGTAATTAAAAGAATACGGGGCTTTGCAAGAACATATAGAAATGCCACACAACAGAAGAGGATAGTTAAAAATAAATAAGTTGTAGGCCTGGCCGGGTGGCTCAGTTGGTTGGAACGTTGTCCTGTACACTAAAAGGTGGTGAGTTTGATTCCCTATCAGGGTACTTACTAGGTTTTGGGTTCAGGGCATGTGCGGGAGGCAACCAATCAATGTTTCTCTCTCATATTGATGTTTCTTCTCTCTTTCTCTCTCCTTCCCTCCTTCCCTCCCTCCCTTTCTTTCTCTCTAAAAATCAATAAAAGCATCCTCCTGTGAGGATTTAAATAGATAGATAGATAGATAGATAGATAGATAGATAGATAGCTTGTGTACATATGAATGGTGTAAATACATAAGTACCTGTTGTCTAGGTGAGGAGCCATCTCAGGCCCGCATGGAAAAGATGGAATGTTCAACA